ACTTGTGTGAAAATTCGGCCACAACTCCAATTTTTTCGCACAAGAATAATACAAATTTCGACGTTTTTAGGCTCAAAACTTGCAGAAATAAGTGAAAATAGACAAAAAATTTACAAACTACAAACTACAACCTTTTAAAACTTTAAAAAACCGCTAAAAATTGTTTTTAAAACTCGAAGTTTGGTGCTCAAATTAATCGATTTTCGCATTTTAGGCCTGCTAAATAATTAGCAGACCCATGAGAGACGCAGGCGACGAGAGAAGTGGTCTGCTTATGTTTGAATAACAGACCAATCTCGTCGCCTGCGTCTCTCATGGGTCTGCTAAATATTTAACAGGCCAACGTGGCCTCTAACTCTCTGCGTCTCTCAATAGCAGACCCAAGGTGTGGGTCTGCTATTGAGAGACGCAGAGAAAAGTGGTCTGCTAAATAGCTAGCAGACCCAAATCTTGTTTCCCTCGTAACTTTGCTCAAAATGAACGTAGAAAACTGAAAATAGGCTCATTTTTTCGCAAATTTTTTCTTTTTTCCGAATATTTTTAAAAAATTAATTTCCAGAGCGATTTTGGTACCTTATTGTTGATATTTTCACTCAAAATCAACCGAAAAAATGCTCATTTTAAAGCATTTTAAATGCTCACCCCAGCAACTCATAAGTATCTTGATAAGTCGATGCACATTGTATCTTTTTAAGCCCCGCCCACATTTACGACGTCATCATGTCAAAAAAAGGGCAAAGCAAATTTCGAATTCCCGCCAAAAAGAGCTATACAACGATTGAAATGAGGGCCGAAAGGATGTCTAATTGGTTTCGTTTTCCGCCTCTTTTTTCGCCTCTCGTTTTAAGCTTCTTCTTTTTATTTGAACAAGAAAAAAGAAGAAGAGGATGGCCGAAAAAGGGCAAATGTGAAAAAAGAACCACCGGAAAGTGAGAAAACTTGTGCTGCTGCTCTTTTTGTGCTTTTCGGATTCTTTTTTTCTTCTTTTTGAACGAAAAATTTGAAAGAATTCCGCTCTTTTTTTGGTGGTGGTGCCCCTCTTAGAATTCGGAATTTGTTCACGAAATTGGTTTTTTTGGGACAAAAAGAGCCAAAACAGCTTTTTGGCTCCGAAAGTTTTGCCTTTTTTTGTCAAGTGGGTCCCTAATTTTTGGAACGGGAACGCTTCAAAGTCAAAAAGGTTTTTCGCACTAGAGCGCATTTTCAATTTTTGGAATTCCAAATTTTTAGATGAAACACGTAGCTTTTGTAATTCTGAGCATTTTGGTACAAGAATGAGATATCAAGCTTCAAAACTAACAAAGTTTTAAAGATTTTCAGATTTTTAAAACCATGCTTTTACGGTTTGAACTGATATTGTAGCTTTCTAGCAACTTTTTGGTACAAAAATCTGTTTTCTAGCTTAAAAACTAACAAAGTTACACAAATTTTACAAAAAATTATCAATAGAGCGCATTTTCTGATTGTCCACTTTTTATTTCAAACCTGGGCATGTTTATACTCATTTGAAAGCTCTCAACAAGCTAAATTCAAAAATTTTAATTAAATATTTCATTTTGGCCAACATCTGAGAAATTACAGCCGAATTTCTTTCTTTTTGCCCTATTGTCTCTATTTCTCAGTGTTGATTTTCGAAAAATATTCAAAAAACTCTGAAAATTTTGAATTTTGGTGTCTTCTTGGAATTTTTCAAAAAATGTTTGTTTATAAAATTTCAAAACCCCTGAATTTTGAAGTTAAAGGATTATTGGAATTAAAACTTGAATTACATATAATCTAAACAAAGTCACTAGAAGAACTTCCTATTAGTTATTCTGATTTATTTGAAATTTAAATTTTTTTTAATGTCTTGAAAAAATTTTTAAGCTGAAAATGTTTTGGGCTGTAATTCTTCAGAAGTTGCCTAAAACAAAAGTCAACTAACATTTTTGAGTTTGCCTTGTCTAGAACTTTCAAATGAGTATAAACAAGCCCAGGTTTAGAAAAAATGTGGAAAAATCGGAAAATACGCTCTATGGATAATTTTGTGTAAATGTGGTGTAACTTTGATAGTTTTTGAGCCAGAGAGCTTATTTTTGTACCAAAATGTTTATTAGAAGCTACCAAATCAGTTCAAAACATTTAAGTTCGAAAATTAACATTTTTGTAATTTTCTGAAACTTTTTTTAGTTGAAAATGTTTTGGGCTGCAATTTTTCCAATATTGGTTGGAATGAAATTCAATTAGATTATTTGAGTTTGCTTTGTTAAGAGCTTTGAAATGAGTATAAACAAGCCTAGGTTTGGAACGAAAAAGTGGAAAATCAGAAAATGCGCTCTAATGATAATTTTTGCAAAAAGTGGTGTAACTTTGTTATTTTTCAAGCTAGGAAACTGATTTTTGTACCAAAACAGCTAATGGAAAGCTACATAATCGGTCTAAACTAGAAAATTGTAATTTTCTGAGAATTTTCAGAACACGCGCTCTATTGATAACCTTATGGTAAAAAGGGTGTAACTTTGTTAGTTTTCATGGGAAATTGATGGTTTTTTGTTCAAAATATATTGATAATAGGCTCCTCTCAAGGAAAATCAAAAGCTCGAAAATTTAGAAATTCCCAAAAAAAAACTTTTTAAACATTTTTTCATTTTTCTTCCTTTTCCCCCTAAAATTAGCATAGTTATGACCTAGTTTTGTATCTCTCGTATCTCTTTCTCCTTTTCTTTTTTGACTTTTTACATAAACATATGTCATTTTTCTCTCGAAAAAGAAAAAATAAGAGAAATGTCAGATTTCCTTTTTCTCCCCTCTTGTTTTTTTTTGATTTTCAGAATACTCTTCTTGACTTTTAGTTTTTCCCTGTTTTCCCCGTCTCTAATTGTCTGCGTCTCTCACTTTCTGATACTCTCTCGTTATCACTATAATGGAGAGCCGCTTTTTTGCTTTTTTCTTGTCTGGAATTTTTTTCCTTGAAATTTCAGAATTCTGGAGAAATTTAAAAAAATGGTCGAATCTTAAAATTTTAAAAACAATTCAAAATTTCGAAAAAAAAATGTTTTTTTGAAAATTCCCAAAATTTCAGAAATGGCTGAAAGTGAGGATGAGGGGACCAACGGATCGACAGATACGACTCCGAGAAATTTGGATGTTCCATTTGCGAAAAGGTAATTAAGAAAAAAAGTGGGCGGAGCTTAGATTAAAAAAATTTTTTTTTTCAAATTTTCAAATTTTCTTTTTTGGAAAACCTGAAATTTTGAAAAAAATTTTTTTTTGGAATTTTTCTCTTCCAGAATCCCCAAATCTTGCTGTACACAAAAGCAAAAAAAGTTTGGCACCGGGTGGAATCGAACTCTGGTGTTGAAATTCATAAATTCGCATGTCCAAGAATCCACTAGGCCATTTGACCAAAAATTTAAAATATCTCGATATTCATGATTTTTAAGCGATTTTTAGGGGTTTTATAGGTTTTAGATGGTTACGGAGCTGATTCTTGTACGTTCCACTCTCAAATGTTCAAGTTTCAGCTATTTTTTGAAAATCTGAAATTTCGAAAAAAAAATTGTTTGAAAATTTTTTCGAAAATTCATATTTTTATCTAAAAAGTGCCTCATTTCAAGCCATTTGTGTGCTCCGTCCCTTCTTGGAGCCAAAAAAAAACCAACTTTTCTGGTCCACCAAAAAAAGAGATGTCACCAAAATGTTTATGTTGAAAACGACACAGAAAATTCTGGAACAAACACAATGTGATGAGCTGTGTTTGGTGGTTCTGGGGAGAGGAAAAAAAATGTTGGACACAAAAAAATTTTTTTGTGTCCAACATTAACAAAGCTGTGTGTATATATACTATTTTTATTTTGCTCCCTCCCCCCAAAAAATTTTTTTTGTTAGTTTACACAAAAAAACGAGTCTTCTGAAGTCCTTTTTTCTTTTTTTAAGAATTCTATTCTTCTGTTTTCTTTTGGATATACCCAAATGATGGAATTTTTTGGGTGAGCTTATTAATTTGCTTTGTCCTTTTTTGAATTATCAAAAAAATGGTTTAAATGATGGGAATAATATGATTGGAAAAGTTTGGATTGGCTTGTTGCCCATCAATTTTAACACATTCTCCTGAAAAAATGAGACTTCTAGCTTGAAAAATAGCGAAATTAGAGTCATTTTTGTAATTTTTCCGGTAGAGCGAATTTGCATTTTTCATATCATGAAAAATTAGCCAAACCTACGTTTATCTTGAAACCCATAAAATTTAACCAAATCTGCTTCAAAAACCATCGCTCTATCTCATAAACCAACGGAGAAATAACGATTTTAATATTTTTCTCAATGGAGCGCATTTCCTGTCAAGCTTTTCAAAATTATTTAAACCTAGTGATGATTATACTCATTTTGAAGCCCTGAACGTGCCGAATTCAAAAATTCGTGTTACTTTTGCTTTGAACCATTTTTAACTAATTTATGTTACTTTTCTCATTGGAGCGCATTTGAAATTTTTCCCCGGAATCATTAAAATTGTCTTTCACCCTAAAGTCCAGAAAATTTTTAGTAATGTAGTGCAAAAATCATCTTTTTCGCTCAAAAATGAACTGAGTTATAGCGATTTCAGTAATTTTTCTCAATGAAGCGCATTTGCTGCCAAATTTTTTAAGTTGTTTCAAACCTAGCCATGATTATACTCATTTTAAAGCTCTCCACATGGCAATTCAGAAAATGATAAACAGTTTTTGTTAGAACTTCTTGTTTTCGCAAAAGAGCGCGTTTTCTGAATCGAATCTTTCAAATTTTGGGCTTCAATCAAAAAATCAGTAGTTCTCGAGTAATCAGAGCATTCAAAATTACAAGAGAAAAATCCTGAAATTCTGAAAAATCAAAATTTTAGAGCTGAAAAATTGATTTTAAAAAAAAATTTTTGCTGAAAACTTCCAAAAATTTCAGAAAAACGCTACGCTCGTCAATCATCAAACATGGTGGACGAGCAAAGTCACCAGCAGGAACTGGCGGACGGAAAACCGTCTCATTTTCGTCGAAAAATAGTGATGCCAAAATTTCGAATGGTAAGTTTTTAGGAAATTTTTTTTTCAAAAAATTTTTTTTTCAGTAAGCGACTGTTGGAATTATATGCAAACTGGGTCGGATTTTGTCAAACTACGCGGTACAAATCGCCAATTTCGACGATTTTTCAGTCTGGACGCCGATTTGTCCTATATTCGATGGACACCAACCAACAAGAAGCCTCACAAAGCGAGAAGTAAGGGGAGCGGAGCTCAAAAAGGGGCGGGGCCTAAATTTTCAAAAAATTATTTCGAAAACTTTTTACAGTTGCTATTGACGATATCCGGGAAATTCGACTTGGAAAAAACACGGAACTCCTACGCTCGTCGGATGAGGTCTTCTCGGATTTGCAGGTACAGTAATCTACAAAAATTTGTTAATCAAAGTTTTCCAGGAAGAATGCCTATTTTCCATAATCTACGGTGATAATTATGAGACACTAGACTTAATCGCTTCGTCTGGAGATGATGCGAACATTTGGGTGACTGGGCTAATGGCACTGACATCGAATAAATGTGAGCAATTTTTTCAGAATATTCTTTATTGAAATTTGCTTTAAAAAAATGAGGAAATTTTAAGCGTTTTCTCAATGGAGCGCATTTACGTTAGTGGTTTTTTTCAATTTTGAAGAATTTGAGTTGTTGCCAATCAATTTAAACACATATCACTGGAAAAATGAGATTTCTAGCTTGAAACATAGCAAAGTTAGAGCCATTTTCGTAACTTGTCCGATAGAGCGAATTTGCATTTTTCATTTTTTTTTAATTAGTCGAATTTTGATGTATTTTGTAGCCCGTAAAATTTAACAAATTTCGATGCAAAAACGACCGTTTCATCTTATAAAACAACCGAGTTATAGCGAGTTTAGTGTTTTTCTCAATGGAGCGCACTTGCTGCCAAATTCTTCATTTTGCTTCAAACTTAGTCATGATTATATTTATTTTGAAGCTCTAACCAAGGCAATTCAAGATATAATGTTTGAATTTTGATAGCACTTCCATGAAAGCCTATTTCGTAATTTCTTCGGTAGAGCGAAATTGCAATTTTTCGGAAATGATGAAAATTGTGTATTATTAAGAAGACCAAAAATTTTCTAGTCTTCTAGTGCAAAGAACTTCTCCGTAGCATTAAAATTAACTGAGTTAAAGCCGTTTTACTAGTTATTATCATTGGAGCGCAGTTGCTACCAAATTTTTGAAGTTGCTCCAAACCTAGTCATGATTATACTTATTTTGAAGCACCAAACAAGACGATTCAGAAAATGACATTCAATTTTTTATAACGACACTAGTTTTGGCGAAAGAGCGCGTCTTCTGACCCAGATTGTTCTAATTTTGGTCTTTAATCAAGTCTAAGCATGTTTGGGCACATTTTGAAGCTCTCGACGAGCTGTTTTCAAAAATTTATCAGAAAATTTTTTTTTCAGACGATTGCAAGCCATCGAGCTCGCAATTTGCAACATGTCGCGAGCGATGGATCGAGACGGTTTTCGACGAATTTGATGTCAAAAAAAGTGGACATCTGGACGAACAGACATCGTTTAAAGCGATTTTACACATAAATTCAAGAATTTCCCATCATCGACTGACCAATAAAATCAAAGAGCAGACAATCGGAGCTGAGGAGTCGGAACGCGGGAAAATTGAAAAATCAAAATTTGTGGATTTATATAAAGAGATTGGGACACGGCCCGAAGTCTATTTCCTCATGGTACGCTACGCGAATAAGGATTATTTATCGTGTCAGGACCTTCGATTGTTCTTGGAAACTGAGCAAGGGGTGAGTCATAGTTATTTTTTTCAATTTTTAACTTTTAACTTTGATAATTTACAAAAAAAAATTAGAAATTCGGCTCGTCCAGAGCTTCAAAACGAGTATAAGCACGCCTAGGCTTGCAGCATTTTTAGAAATTTGGCAGCAAATGCGCTCCATTGAGAAAAATTTAAAAATTAGAATAACTCGGTTCATTTTGAAGCTACGAAGATGATTTTTGCACAAAAAAACTTTAATTTTTCTGAGCTTCAAAGAAAAGCCTAATTTTCAAGATTTTTGAAAAAGTTGAAAATGCGCTCCAATGATAAAATTCAAATAAATTGGTTAGTTCAAACCAGAAATTGGTTCAAAACAGAAATAACAAGAATTTTTAGAATTTGGTACATTGAGAGCTTCAAAATGAGTATAATCATTACTAGGTTTGAAGCAATTTGAAGAATTTGGCAGCGAATGCGCTCCATTGAGAAAATTTTCAAAAATTGAATAACTCGGTCCATTTTAAAGCTACAGAGATGGTTTTTACATCAAATTACTAGAAATTTTTGGGGCTTCAGAATAAACTGCAATTTCAAATTTTTGCAAATGCGCTCTAATGATAAAAATCAGTTAAACGGTGCTAACTCAGTTCAATTTAAAGCTATCCTGATGATTGTTGTCGCAAAATGTTATGATTTTCAGATGGTTGGAGTGACGACTGACCATTGTGAAAACATAATTGAGCAATATGAGCCATGTTGTGAAGCTCGTGAGAATAATTTGATGACTGTCGATGGATTCACCTCGTTTCTTTTTTCTCCGGATTGTGGCGTTTTTGATCCCAACCATAGAGTTGTTACTATGGATATGAAACAGGTACTTTTTCGAATTTTTTTTTCAAAACATTAGACTATTGTTTGCTAATTTTCAGCCATTCTCTCGCTATTTCATCTCAAGTTCCCGAAAAACGTTCCTTGTGGAGGACCAACTTGGCCCGTCGTCTTCTGACGGATTCTCATCGGCTTTGAAAAGGAATTGCAGATTTTTAGAATGTAAGTAGAACCCAAGAAATGAAAAATCCAAAAAAATTGACATTGATTAGTGAAAAATTGACTGTTCTAGCCTGAAAATGAACAAAATTACAAGGGTTTTAGTATTTTTGTCAATAGAGCGCATTTTCTGATTTTGTTTCTTCTCAAATTAAAGCATTTGCATTGTGCCCCATCTAATTTAGCACAATTACCTAAAAAAAATGAGATTTCTAACTCGAAAAATAACGAAATTAGAGCCGTTTTTGTAACTTGTCCGGTAGAGCGAATTTGCATTTTTTTAGTATTTTTGAAATGAAACGGAAGTGTACATCATTTCTAGTAACCTAGAGCAAAAATCGTCTTTGTAGCTTTGAAATGGACCGAGTTAGATCCATTTTACTGGTTATTATCAATAGAGCGCATTTGCTGCAAAATTTTTCGAAATGCTTCGAACCTAGTCATGATTATACTCTTTTTGAAGCTCTAAACAAGGAAAGTTCAAAAATGTATATGACTTCCATAAAATATTTCGAACTAACCAATTCATGTGGTTTTTCTCAATGGAGCGCATTTGCAATTTTTTTCGAAAACATTAAAAATTGAATTTTGTTTTGAACTCCGAAAAATTTCTGAGTGATTTAGTGCAAAAATCACCTTCGTAGCGTTTAAATGAACCAAGTTATTCTAATATTAAACTTTTCTCAACGGAGCGCACTTGCTACCAAATTCTTCAAGTTGCTTCAAGCCTAGTCATGATAATACTCATTTTGAAGCAAAAAACTCCCCGAAATAGAAGATATTGCTCATTTTTCTTCAAAAACAATTTCAAATTTTCAGTCGATATTTGGGATCCAAACGAGAATAACGGAGAGCTGGAGCCAATGGTTCAAAATGGGCAAACCGCTCACAGCAAGATTACAATATCCTCTGCTCTACGGACAATTCGAGAATTTGCATTTGAGAGAAGCAGGTATCCACTTTTGCTGAAAATTTCGGTCCATTGCTCGACGGATTGGCAGAAAGTGGCTGCAAAATTGATTGTGACACATTTGGGAACCAGATTATATCTTCCTTCGAATGATCCGACAGATTGGGATGACGAGAAGAATTGTCCGACACCATGGGATTTTCAGAACCGGATTTTGATTATTGTGAGTTGAAACTAGCAAAGTTATAGCGGTTTTATAGCTGTTTTATCAATAGAGCGCAGTAGCTGAACTCTGATTTTTGTCGGAAGTTTGTATTCATTTCAAAGCCAATCGAATTTCCAACACATTGGTACCAAAATGACTCTTCTAGTGTTTAAATAAACAAAGTTATCGAAGTTTTTATCATTAGAGCGCATTTGCTGAACTCCAAGTTTCAACAAAACTTTGTTTTCATTTTGAAGTCAATCAAATTTCAAATACATTGGTAGTAAAATGACTTTCCTAGCGTTAATATAACCAAAGTTATAGCGGTTTTATCATTATAGCGCACTTTCGGACCGACCGACCAGATTTTTCAAGTTTGATCAAACTAAGGCGTGATGGGGTTCATTTTGAAACTCACAGCATGGCAAGTTCAAAAATCAAAAATTAAGGCTTAATTTTCGTTTGGTTTTCTCAATAGAGCGCGTTTACTGAGTTGAGCTGCAAGGTTTTAAAGCCCTCTTTTTCCAGGGCAAAAAATTGGAGGATCCCGAGGCGGAAAGTGGAGACGTGTCAGAAGAGGATGACTCGTTGGCAAGTACAACAAGGAAGAAATCAAAAAGGTTAGTTTAGACATCTGGATACGCAGAATTTCTTTAAAAATGAAAATTAATGAAAATTTCAGAATAACGCTATGCAAAGAAATTTCGGATTTGGTTCCTGTGTTTTTCAATGTCAAAACTTTGAATGATTTGTTGTCAACCGCGCCAGGATCTACTACAAGTGAGTTAATTGGGGACTTAATTGGGGTTAATTAGGGATGGATATTATTATTTGAAAGCTCTATTTATTTGAAACAATTTAAGACAAAAATCGGTTTTCTAGTGTTACAATGAACAAAGTTATAGTGGTTTTATCATTAGAGCGCATTTTCTGAGAACCTACCAGATTTTTTCAAAATTGATCAAACTAGGGCATGTTGGGGCTCATTTTGAAGCTCGAAATCTAAGGAATTCAAAAATTGGATAATAAATCATGATAGCTGGATGGTTTTCTCAATAGGGCTCGTTAACTAACTTTAAAAAATTGTCAAACATTTTTTCAGTGTCTTGCCGGAAGAATTTGGCATCTGTAAACGAGTCGACGTGCCTCCGCCTGATGCACACATACGCTACAGAATTCGGACAAGCCACTCGAAATTATTGTGTTCGAGTTTTCCCAAACCCATCCCGGGTGGATTCGTCAAATTTGAATCCCCAAGAATTTTGGAATAACGGAGTTCAAATGGTTTGTCTCAATTATCAAACGCCTGGGTTGATGATGGATTTGCAGGTAAACTTTGAAACACAATTTGAGACAATTTTCATCATTATAGCACAAACACCAGCATATAGTTAGATCACTTTTACGCTAAATTATCAGTAGAGTGCATTTCTGATTTTCCAAGTAGAAAATTTTTTGGCACTTGAGTTTCACGAAACTTGGTCCAAAAATGAATGTGCTAGCTTCAAAATAAACAAAGTTATGAAGATTTCAAGATTTCTATCAATAGAGCGCATTTTCTCATGATTTTTCAAGCAAACCATATCATGTTTATACTCATTTTAAAGCTCGCAGCAAGGCAAATTCAAATATTCAATTAGTTTTTGGTTTGCACAAAAACTGAGAAAAAAGTTTCCTCAAAAACAAAAATTGATTCTTTTTTCAGGAAGGCAAATTCTCTGACAACGGAGGATGTGGCTATGTATTGAAACCGCAAGTAATGAAAGATGACATGTTTGTACCATCAGACAGAATGCCAACGTCTCCTCAAATTCTTCATCTTCGAATTCTCTCCGGCCAACAGTTGCCCCGCCCACGCGGGTCCAATGCCAAAGGAGACTCGGCTGATCCTTTTGTGGTTGTTGAGATTTTTGGGTTACCTGGAGACTGTGCAGAGGAGCGCACAAGAACCGTTCGCAATGATAGTAAGTTTTTGCAATTTAGACTTTTTAAGCTTCGAAATTAACAAAGTTACAGCAAGTTGTCATTGGAGCGAATTTAAGTAAAAAAAAAACAAAACTAGAAAGTTTGTATCTGCCTCGTTGAGAACTTCAAAATGAGTATAATCATGACTATATTCGGTGTAGTTTGAAAATTCATGCAAGGAGTCTGCGCTCTACCGGACAGAAAAGAAACATTGCTATAACTTTGCTTGTTTTCGAGCTAGATGGGTAGTTATAGTACCAAAATTTAGGAAATTGTGTGAGATTTCAGATGGGCATAAAAACAAAGAATGGGCATAAAAACGGAGAATCAAGAAAATGCGCTCCAATGAGAAAAGCGCTACAACTTTGTTAATTTTGAAGATAGAAGAATGATTTTAACACCGATGTGTTTTAAATTTCAAAAGCTTCAAAATAAGTAAAGAAATGACTAGATTTGGTCTAGTTTGAAAAATTACGTTAAAAGTCTGAAAATGCGCTCTATCGTAGAGAAGAGAAAAATTGCTGTAACTTTGTTAGTTTTTAAGCTAGACGGGTATTTTTTGCCCCAAAATGTAGGAAATTGTATGAGCTTTCAGATGAGTATAGAAACAACTCATTTTCGGATAATCAAGATAATGCGCTCTGATGAGAAAAGCGCCATAACTTTGTCAATTTTTACGCTAGAGAAATGATTTTCGCCCCAATTTATTGGAAATTTTATAGACTTCAATTCAAACACAAAATATATACAAATGTTCAATTTTCCAGGCATCAACCCCTCGTTCGACGAGTCCTTCCAATTCCAAGTGTCGGTCCCAGAGCTGGCATTGGTCCGTTTCCTGGTCCTAGACGATGACTATATTGGAGACGATTTTATTGGTCAATATACAATTCCTTTTGAATGCCTTCAACCTGGATATCGACACATTTATCTTTTGAATAACGAAGGAGACCCTCTGGAGAATGCCACTCTATTTGTCCACGTGGCAATTACAAATCGACGAGGTGGAGGAAAAGCAAAGAAGAGAGGAATGTCTGTAAAACGGAAGAATTCAAGAATCTCATCTGGAATGAAATTGGTTGGAATCAAATCTGTCGATGATCAGTTTAAGGTTACTTTTCCATATAACTTTTGCAAACTCTTTCGCAACTTGTTGAAAATGAGAAATTTGAATTCGGCTCATTCTTAGCTTCAAAATAAGCTTAAACACGACTAGATTCGGTGGCATTTTAAAAATTCGAGACCTAGTCAGAAAGCTCGCTCTACTGTGATTTAGGTAAAATTGCTGTAACTCACTCAGTTTTCAAGCTAGAACATTGATTTTTTTATCAATTTGATGGGAAATTGTTTGGGCTTTTCAAAAAAAAAAGCAAAATCTCAGACTTTTTTTTCAAAATGTAGAAAATGCGCTCCACTGAGAATTACGTTATAATTTGGCCAGTTTTAACGCTAAAAAAGTGATTTTTGTACGAAACTGCACGAAATTTCCTAGGCTTCAAAATAAGTATAAACATGCCGCAATTCAAAATTTTGCGAAAAATATAAAAACGCGCTCCACTGAAAATCACGTCATTATCCGGTTAGTTTTTGAGCTAAACCACTCATTTTTGCACGTAACTGTTTAAATTTTATTCCAGATATGCCAAATTCAAAAAAAAAATAAATTTATGTTTCAGGTCGCCGTGGTCCCACTGGCAGAATCCACTGCTATGAGGAATCGTCTAGAAAACGCAATGATCGATTGGCAAGAGGAATGTGGTCTCGGACCGGCTGGAACAATTCGTCAAGGGATTCGACTGATTCATTCGAGAATGATCACTCTGGCAGTGAATTGTAAGCTTTGTAGAATGAAATTGGAACATTCTAGTTCCAAAACTGACCAAGTTTGTCAGTGGAGCGCACTTTCCTATTTTTCGAAAAATTTCGAATTTTGACATGCTTGTATTCATTTTGAAGCTCGTTCAATTTCCTTCAAATTAACAGTAAAATCACTACTCTGGCTTCAAAACTAACCGAGTTACAGCTATTTTAAGATAATTGTCAGTAGAGCGCATTTTCTGACTCTGCCTCTGTTTTTTTCAAAAAATTTCAAATCTAGTCGTTTTTGTGCTTATCTCGAACCTCAAAACACACAGAATTCAAATTTTCTAGTCTTATCCGCGCATGATCAATTTTTTTTTTTGAAAAATTCAAATTTTAAGAAATTTCAAAAAATAAATTTCAGCCTCTCCTCCCCCATCTCCAACTGGAAACCCGGATAAATCAACTGCAGATGTCACACCATCGTTTATAATTGATGCTGACGATCATGGAGTAAGCTCTAAAGATTCTTTAGAAAAAATAAGCCACGCCCCTAATTTACAGTACCCCGCAATTATAACAATGGGAAATCTACCGGATCAATTGCAACGGTCATTCAATAAATTGAAAAATCTCATCGCCCATTGCGTTACAACTCTCTCGCAATCGGATTCTTTATTGACAAAGGTTGGTTTATCAATGGGGCGCGTTTTTTTTCTCAATAGAGCGCATTTTCTAAACCTCGTAAAATGTAGTCATAATTATGCTCATTTTGAAGCCCTTTCTATTTTACCCTTTTTACATAAAAATCAATGTTCTAGCTCAAAAATGAAAAGAGTTACAGCAATTTTTCTTTCTGTTCTCATTAGAGCGCACTTTCTTCAAAAATCAAAATTTTGAAAATGTAGTGGTGTTTATACTCATTTTGAAGTTTATGAAATTTCCTATGGTTTGGCACAAAATTAATTTTTGTAGTGCAAAAAATAAGAAAGTTACGACTGAATTCTCAGTGGAGCGCGTTTACACCAATTTTTTGAACACGAGCAATCCTAGTCATGATTATACTCATTTTGAAGCTCTTGATTTGCAAAGCTCAAAATTCTTATTTAAAATGTCGTAGGCCTTTGCGTTTTCTCAGTAGAGCGCATTTTCATAATCGAATTTTCGAATTTAACGGAATCAGGGCGTGTTTGTACTCATTTTGAAGCTCAAAACCTCTAGCTTTCAAATAGGTTCTTTATTTTCTGAGAAAATCAAAGTATAAACTTTCAGATTGAAGATTCGATTCGTCGAATTTCGGAATGTCATGAGGAGTTGGGCAAGCTGTGCGCAGAAGCTGGCCTAAAAGGCAAAAAGCGACGAGAGCCGCCGAGAATTTCACCTGGAATTTGAGATTGTTGAAAGCGCAGCTCAATTTAATGAATAAGTCCCAAGAGGAGGCACAGGATGTTGTTACTCAGGTAATTTTAAGAAAAAAAAATTCAACAAAATTTTTTTTTTGAAAAATTTGAAATTTCCGAAAAATCTGGAATTTTTTCCAGGTTTTCGACACCGGAGGCGTGTTGGGAGTACTGTCACAGAAATTGCTCATCCGAAAAAATGGGCGGAGATTCTCCAGAGTCGTCGCTGATCCAACTAAAGATTCTGTGCTTTGAAATAATTGAATTCTCAAAATTTTGAATTTTTGAATAAAAAAAAATTATGAGCTTGCATTTTTTTTTTCTTAAAAAATCCCTTTTACCATATGTATGTTTATTATTGTGTGTCTTTTTTCTTGCAATAAAATATTAATGAAATAATTAATTAATTAATTTCGCAATTAAGAAAAAATAATTAGAGACCAATTAAGATTTTCCATAAATGCCAAAATCGTAATTAGGCATACCCATCGAAAAACTATCCAGGTACGCTTTATGATGTGTCAGTGGGCGGGATGAGAATTTGATCTGAAAATAAAAAAAAATGTGAAAATTTGAAATTATGAAAAAAAACTTTTTTGAAAATTTAAAAAGTTGTTACCTCTGGTTGATTTTGCATCCGAGCAATGTAGGCGCCAATTTTCGGATAATGAAGACCCGGAAAATATCGGAATTGAGAATTTTGAGTCATTGTTAAAAGTTGGAGACGTTCCAAAAATGGCCAGATGAGATAGTCGGCGTAGCCGGGTTGACGACCTTAAAAGCGGAATTTAGCGAATAAGACATTATCATTAGAGCGCGTTTCAAAACTGACAAAAAATTATAAAAAATTGAGACATTTTGGCACAAAAATCACTTTTCTATCTTGAAAACTAAGCAAGTTATGAGTGAATTCTCATTAGAGCGCATTTTCTTCGAAATTAAAAATGTTTCAAATGTAGTCATGTTTAAACTCATTTTGGAGCCTATAAAATTTCCAACACATTGGTACAAAAATAATTTCTCAGGCGCAAAAAATAAGCAAGTCATGACCGAATTCTCACTGGAGCGCGTTTTCTTCGAAATTCAAATTTCAGCGAATTTAGTCATGTTTATACTCATTTTGAAGCTTATAAAATTTCTTACGCTTCCATGAAAAAATCAATGTTGGTTATTTTGGATTTTAAAGAAAATTTTGGATTTTAATAAAAAATTTGGATTTTTAAAAAAATTTTGGATTTTAAAAAAAATTTGGATTTTGAAGAAAATATTGGATTTTAAAGACCTTGAAAAACTTTAAAATCCAAAAATTTCGTGCGATGAAATTTTCATCATAAATTGTGGTCAGTGTTCTTCCTGGCTGTACTTCGCTGTAATCAGCATTTGAAAAACTGATTTACCGTCGTTTCCAGACATTTTAAAGTTTTCAAATTATTTTGGATTTTAAAGATTGTGGGAAAATGTTGAGACTAGAGACAAGCTTGATAGGGTTCCGAAGGTTTTAACTTTTTAAATATTTATAGCTCACATCTTGTCGGGAACCCAGGATCGAAGGGTACATTTAAAAAAAGGCTACGCTGAGGGTACAAAGGTTCAGAGGGCAAACGGGATCTTAGGTGAAAGTCGTTATAGCTTAAGCCTATGATTTAGAGCGAAAGCTAAACAGTCAGTAGGGAAAATTGTGTTCGCCCTCCCGCATGTACCACAAAATCCCATGTATGCTAGGAATCAATATACTCTAAGAACTAGAGGTACCCTTTCCCGATGTGCCCTTGGATACTGGGCCGTTGAAAACATGTCAAACACAGCCAAATGTTTTAAAGTTGATGTCAAATGGCAGTGTTCCAGTGGAAGGAAAACAAGACATTTCAGCCTAAGCCTTTAAATTGAACAAAAAAAAAGAACATTTTGAAAAAAAGATTTAGTGAAAAAAAGGTTTTTTTCATTGATTTGATTTTCAGTACTTCATTAACTAGAAATGTTTCAGAATACTTTGTCCTTTGTTTGAAATTATAGGCAGAAGGTGTTTTTATGAATCTTTTCTGAATTCTTTAAAATCCAAACATTTCTTTAAAATCCAAAATTTTTCTTTAAAATCCAAAATAACCAACTAGAGCCAAATCAATTGTCTAGTGAAAAACATATGCAAGTTATGAGTAGATTCTCAGTGGAGCGCATTTTCTTCGAAATTAGAATTTTTGCAAATATAGTCGTGTTAATATTTATTTTGAAGCTTATGATATTTCCTACAAATTGATCTGAAAATCATTTGTCGTGAATAATAAGCAAGTTATGGATAAATTCTCATTGGAGCGCGTTTTCTATAATGTTTCAAACCTGAGCAATCCTAGTCATGTTTATACTCATTTTGAACCTTTAGAAATTTTCTACAGTTTGGCACAAACATCACTTTGCTAGCTCAAAGAATGAACAAGTTATGAGTAAATCCTCATTGGAGCGCATTTTCTTCAAAATTCAATTTTTGCTAATGTAGTCGTGTTTATACTCATTTTGAAGCCCACGACATTTTCTACAGATTGGCACAAAAACCAACTTTCCTAGCGCAAAAACTGAGCAAGTTATAGGTAAATTCTCATTAGAGCGCGTTTACATCAATTTTTCAAACATAAGCAATCCTAGTCATGTTTATACTCATTTTGAAGCTAAATTTGCGCCAAATCGAATAATAAGTGTTACAACTGAGAAAAATCAAAATTCAAAAAAAGTTACCTCCATAAAACGAGTCTCTCAACAAATTCTCGGCATTTCTGAGAGCACTATGCACATTCATATCGTTTTGTCGTTGTGCCTGCTGATTGCTCATACTACTGTAGAACTCGAATAATGCGTTCATTATCTGAAAATTAATATTGTTTTCTGAATTTTCAACAAACTCACCGGTGACAATCGTTCCACTAGAATTTTTTGATGTGCCTTCTCAAAGGCATCTCTCGGGAGTACTGTAGTTGTTGGGAACAGCTCATCCAGGTATTCCACAATCACATTAGATTCCCAAACCACTTTTCCATTAATTTCCAGTGCTGGGACTCTTCCGATTGGAGATTTCGCCAAATACCAGTTCGGACTACGGTCAGGGTTCACATTCACCACTTCTACTCTAAAAAATTGAATTTTCGTTTGAAATTGGTTTAGAAAATGTTATAATTTACTCAAAATGTTTGACTATTGAGCATAAAATGCCAAAAATTGAAAATTCCTTTTCAAAATGCCTAACACTTTTTTAATTTTTCTTCAAATCAATTTTGAACTTGATATTCTTACTCAGCTCAACAAGATCTTCAAAATGAGTATGCTTGATTTTGCAAAATTTAGAAAGTGCGCTCTACTGAGAAAGTTCTTGTATCTCAGCCCGTTGTAAACCGTTTTTGATGATTTGTATATCAAAATGAAGAAAATTCAAAAACAAAACTCACGGAATGTTTTTCTTAGCCAAATAGATAAGAACTCGCTGAGCATATGGACAAAATCTCATGCTATACAATCGATAGTTCCCGGGTGTAAGAGGCGGCTCCATGCTTCCAGGATGGAGAGTTTGAGAATTTAGGCCTCGAATGTTTGAACCAACTGAGGAATATGAATTAAAACGAATTGGGACAGCCGCAGATGATGGAGACGGTGCTGGTGGTGGGACCGATCGATATGAGACGAATAGTTTTTTGTTTGGCAGATGGTAGTCATTTGGCTGGAAATTTTTGGATTTTGAGATTTCCAGGAGAGTTAAAATATAAAAATTCAAATTTTGCACAAAATTTTAAATTGGAAAAGTGAAAAAATTCAAAAAACAAATGCAGAAAATTTCAACAAAAAAAATGAGCAAAAATTGTTTTTTTTTAAATTTTCCAAAAAAAACCTACCACTGCTGGATAGGCCTGATCAATGGCCACAGCGGCCAGCTGTGTCAAAAATTGCATACATAATGCTGCTGATGTGGAGCAATTCCCAGGTAGAACCATCTGAAATTTTTCTGAAATTTTTTGGAAAAATAAATTTCCAAAAAAAATTGTTATTTGGAATTTTTCAGGTTCAAAGCAAAATAAAGATCTGTAACTACAAAAGTAGAAGAAATTTCTACAGTAACCCATCCAAATAGTGTTCAAAGAATCAAAAAATGCTCCAAAAATGGGCGAAAAAAAAACATAGAAAAATACATAGAGTGTCCCCCTTGGAGTCTAAGAAACACAAAAAGCGAGAGAGCGAGAGATCAGAAGAGACGCAGAGAAGGAAAAAGAAGAAAAACTTGGAGCATTTTGGTGCTCTCCCGGGAGCCCCTCTCCTCCTCCCGAGAAAAAAGAAAACCACTTGTTTTTTCTCTGCGTCTCTCAATTTCGCGTACTCTCTCGTTTTCAAATATCTCATATTTGTTCTATGACCACTTTGTATGTGCTCCATCTACAAGCTTCACATGTGTCGGCAGAAAAATTAAAAATTTCATTAATGTTCGAAAATCGAAAAAAAAACTTTAAAATTCCAAAATATCAATTTTCCACCTTTTTTGAGCATTTTTCAAAAAATTGACACAAATGGCTCCGTGGGATTTTCGATAGCAATCTAACGACCCGGGTTCGATTCCACTCGGTGGGAAATCTTTTTTTTGCTTTTTTAAAGACATTTTCAAACTATTCCAGAAGGTTTTGAGAGTACATTTTTGAATTTTTGAAAAAAAAGTTCTTTTTTTTGAAAAATTCAAATTTCAAAAAATCAATTTTTTGAGCTGAACATGTCTATTTACCCCTCAAAACTACAAAAAATTAATTTAAAAGCCCTAAAAACCATTTTTCCGATGTTTTTGAGCATTTTTCAAAAAATGACACAAATGGCTCAGTGGGATTTTCGATAGCAATCTGGCGATCCGGGTTCGATTCCTCTCAGTGGCAAACGTTTTTGATTTTTGTGTGGATCATTTTAGACTATACTAGAACATTCTAGAGCTGAATTTCTGGAAAATCTGCAAATTTCAGACAAAAATTTTTTTGAAAAAACAATTTTTTGTGGATTTTCAAAATCCTCTTTTCCAAAACTATCAGGGATGTCTAAAAACATACTTAAGCAATCTGTAAAAATTAGAAAAAATTCAAAATCCAAAAATTTTTTGGTACATTTTATACACCAACTTTTTTTATTGGAAACCAAAAAACCAATAATCCGGTTAAAAATGAAAAAAAGGTAAAATAGAAGATGATTCAAGCTATAGAAAGATGTGTGGAAAAGTGGGGGGCGGAGTCTCCGGAAAAGACGAGAGAGCAAGAGACGCAGAGAAAAAGAGAAGCCGGTTACCTGAGAGCCGAGTTTCACGTGAGATCATCCAGATGTTTGTCAATTTTCCGGATTCCGGGGTTTACACAAAAAAAGAGATACATCTGTTCTCTTTTTCTCATATCTCAACATGTGTGTAATGGTCGGAAAAAACGGAAAGCTCATTGATCAATTATAGGCAATTAACACTTAATTATCTTTTTTAGAGTTATAACTCGGTTCAAAATTAACCTATTATAGTGATTTCACCAGAAATTGATAGAGAATTTTGTGAATTTCTGAAAAACATGGATTTTGAGAAGTTCTGTAGCACAAAGTCTGAAGAGCGGAGCATCTTCCTGCTGGCCAAGCTGATCAAATTCATAACTCAGCTCAAAAAACTGATTTCAATGATTTAACTAGGAATTGATAGGGAATTCTTTGAATTTTCACCAAAAAAAAAGGATTCTGAAAGTTCTGGAGCACAGAAACTGAATAGGAGAGCAATTGCTTGCTGGCCAAGCTAATTACCCTCATAACTCAGCTCATAATTAACCAATTTCAATGGTTTTACTAATAGTAATACTTGATAGGAAATTTTTGAAAAATTAATTCAGTTTTTGGAATTTTTAAAAAATATGGTTTCAGAATGTTCCTGGAGCACAAAAACTGAAGACGAGAGCGTCTTCCTGCTGGCCGAGCTAATTACCCTCATAACTCAGCTCACAATTGACCAATTTCAGTGATTTTACTAATAATTGATAGGAAATTATTTAAAGATTAATTCGGTTTTCTGAATGATTGAAAAAATATGGATTCAGAAAGTTTCAGGAGCACAGAAAATGAGCAATCTTCTGCAGAGTTACGAGAAGGCAATTTTCCGCAAAGTCAGAAATCATTTCATGAGATGTTGCTCATGATTTTTCCTATCACATGAGACAGAAGACAACTCAACTTGTGACCTTACAGCACACTTATCATCAACCAATCTTCTTCTTCCATGAGTAACACTCTTTTCTCAAATTTTAAGTTTTTGAACGCTTATAAGTGGTATTAGAATTTGTGCTACATTTTTGAAAACTTCAGGGAATATAACACAAACCTAGAGCTAC